TCATGAAGATGCATTCAGGAAAGGACTGGACAAGCCATTAAGCTAAAGAGTGACTTCACTGCAACAACTACCAAATCCTTCTCAATTCAATATTTACAACTGATCATTGCAGCAACATATTCACTTCAACATAAGTAAAGCAACAAGTTTAAAAATATCTAGCAGTATTATATTTTCCCTTAAAAACAGTTCTGAGGTAGATTTGTATTCTCATATATAACACATTAAACAAATGAATTCCAATTCAACCAGCTAATACTATAAACATTCTGAATTGTTTTGTTCTACAAGTATGAACAAAGTATGAAAGCTAAACTATCTAAATACTGAAAGTAGTTATGGAAAATGACTGGATGATGTGCTTTAACAGCATTATGGGCAAGCAGTAAAACAAACATGTTTTGCTGCAACTTAGGCAGAGGGAGGCTCAGGGAAACTAGGGAGAGAAGGAAAGTAAGAGATAAGAGGCAAAAGTTGGTATCAGTGAGATCTGGTGCTGAGTATGCCCCTTATATGTTACTTTGCAAACACAATGGAGATGCAAAAACAGGTTGGAAAAATTCCTCTGAGGAGAAAAATGTATAGCCTTATATACCCCTCTCCAGTATCTTCTTTAGCAATCTTGCCTTTGGTTTCAGTGTAACATGAACAGACCTATCTACTTACAAAAGCTCCCCTCTTCCCACCAGCCTTGTTTGTTATTTTATGTGTTTCTGCATCATTTGCAGAGTTTGCTTTGATCTACATTCCTCCTGGATGTGCGGTTTCCTTTTCAGCTACCAAAAGGAAAACTGTTTGGTTTGAGAATTTGCTTATTTTGAAGCTCTGCTGGCCCAAAACACCTATTTTTAATCCAAATGAACACAGCTCAGTGCTTGCAGCTCTTCAGCACTGGTTGCCTTCCTTTCAGGAAAACCCTCTTTGAACAATAAGTGACCTCTTCATGCTTTAATAAAATGCCCAAACTGTAATTCTAGCTGGCATAAACAAGAGCATTCAGTTGGCTACAGCTGAGTTGGAATATTGACACTCAGGCATAATTTGATCCTTGAATTGCTTTGATTTTAGCACCATCCTGAAATGGTCGATATTTTATTCTATGTCTGATACCCAACAACATGTACCATGCTATTCTAAAACACCATCAGAGCACCTAATTAAGAATTCTCTCAGTATTTCTTTATTACAGACTCAGTCTATCTGCATGGCAGAATTCCTGCATCCTCCAAGGATTGGCTGGGCTTTGGTGTGTTTGTGTATATGACTGTAAATCCTTCTGCAGGGAATATGTGATGTTGAATGTAAAGTCTGAGCCATTTTAATCCTTCCTCCTTCTCTACGAAGCATCACAATGCCCCCACAGTAGGAATAGTGCACAGACAAAACACAGTTCATAAATAACAGGTAAACAATCTTCAAATGAGAAGAGAAGACGGGACACATCCTTGGATTGACTCTTTGACTGGGAAACAGGATATATTCTTCAAGGACCTTGCAGGAATGGTCCCAGAGGACAATTAGAGATTAGATCTTCTCTTCTATGGGGTTAGGCCACAGGAGTTAACTTGGGAAACAATTCAGATAAACAAAGCACTGGCAAGAGGAAGGACACTGTGAGATTTTGCTCCTGTGTCTTTACCAGACACGGGCCTTCATGTCAAGCTCCACGTTAAGAACTTAGTTTCAAATGGTAACAGAGCATGAACTGACACCACCAGTATTGGAAAGAAGCAACCTATGATTCTGTAAGCTAATTACCTGTTGTGAGAAGATTCTTAATGAGACAGCCTAGAATGAGAGTATCCTCATCCACTGACCAAAAGAAAGGGCAAATGTGCTTAGTGTCACTCAACAGATACTCAACTGCTTCTATAAGAGGGCAGAACCTGGAGATTCACCCTCCTCTCATCTGCAACCTGGCCCATCAAATGCAGTCAAAGGCAGACGTGCTCTCTATGATTAATTTTTGTTTTTAGAAAAAATTGGTGAGGGAAATTAGCATTTGAGTGCATGTGTACACACAGGCACTGCCACATGTAGAGCTGCACAAGCCGTGGGGGAAAGTGTTCCTACTTTGCAAGGAGAAAAACATTCCTCACAAAAACACAGCTATGGCCACTTTACCAGAGCAAATATTAAGAAAACAGTTATCAAGGATGAGTAACTGAAACATCTGAGAATAACTTCTCTTTTTCATATAAATATATATATGTGTGTAAGGGGAGAAAAAAGCAAATACATGGAGCAATGTATGTGCAGTGTATATCCCCACCCTTGTAAGCAGATATTAATTATGAAGAAGCTTTGCTGGAAGCTCCTTCATATTTACATATATATATATATATGTAAAATATATGTATATTTTACATAAATAGAACTTGTAAACTACTCTGTATTCAATCTAAAATAAAGCAAATGAAAGCTGTTTCCTGCTAAGTGCACGTGGATGAGGCCAGTGCAGATTTTAATGTAAAACATAGTGGTTTTCTCCACATGCTGTCTCGAAACACATTTGTCTCTATCTTTAAAATATAAGGTTTTAATAGTAAAGATACATCAGAACACAGTGATGGTGCTCTATGTGTTTCTTTATGTGATCCATCTGAAGAAGTGAGAAGATTAAAATAACCCAGAAAAGAATTATTACTTGAGGCATCCAAAAAGCAATGCCAACGGACGATCCAGGAAAACACTTGGTTTCTTTTTTTCCTATACTTAAAGTATCTAGAAACATATATAAATTGTAAACCTCAGACAAATTAGCTGAAAGCAGCAAAACACCCCATATCCCAGCTGGCAATGCACTACAAAAGCAGCACATGAGGGTCACCCCAAAGCAGTGGCTGCCTCAGCTGTGCTGCCTGCCATCTTCTGCATTGCCAGCCCCACAGCTTGCACCCTTAAGACTTCAAACTGATCCACTTCAGTGATTAGGCTGATCCAAGGACACGGACAGGAGAGCAGGATTTAATGGGCAGGCAGGCAGGAAAAGTCTTTTAACACTTTAGAAAACATTGACTTGGTGGAAGGAATTGGCTAGCTCAAGGGATTAGTAATGAGATCCTGAGCCCCTTAGCTCTAGGTCACCACACTGAATCTGGTCCAGGTCAGCAGAAATCAAAAGCTGTTGCTGTTCAGTGGCCTTTGGGAAGTCAGCTGGTGGTCCCACCCCACTTACCTCTGGCAAAATATTTGTACCAAAACTAACAATAGCAGTTGGCAGCACATGAAGGAAAGGTTTAGGACTGGCACAGTACAGGAAAAGTCTGAGCAGAGAAAGATGTCCCAGCAAACACAGTAGGCTGGAACTCAAAAAAAAATGGGAAAACAACTTCCCTGATCATCTGCAGATTTCCAGTGTGACTTGGGGTAGGAGACAGGATCCTGCTCATGAAAACTTTATTTCCCCATTGCTGTGGTCTTCACAAGGCATTTATGACCTAAAAGTCTCTGAAGGGCAGAGCAATTGCTGAAGTTCAGACTCTCACCTTTAAAATGGGAGTAATTAGCTCACAGGGCTGCTGCAGGGAGAGCCTCAGTAAAGGGGTGACAGAAAAGCTAAACAAGAAACACAGACAGGGGAGAAAACCCTTTCTACCTAAAATCAGGTCTCCTAAGTCCAAAGCAAGGCATTTGCTGAGTATGCACAAGGCTCCCATTTGCAAAGCTCTGTGCTTCATGTGCTTAAAAAGAACAAATTCCCCTCACAGAAAAAGTACCCCCCAAAATCCCCCACGTTTCCACTGCTGCCCAGCAGAGCAGCATCAAAGAATGCAGCTGCTCCCAGCTTTTATCCCACCTAGGATGAAATTCTAATGTCTGTGTTTTGCAGGAGGTCAAATAGATTATCATAACAGTCCCTTCTGGCCTTAAAAACTATGAAATTGGAGAGTGAATCCCACGATTTTGGTCACCATTGAAGGCAGGATGGGAGGCGGCAGACCTCAGTGATAGGGTGTGATATGGCAGAGTAAATCCAATGTTCTTAGGCCCTGTGAAGCTGGGAAAATGACATTTTGCCTTCTTTGTTGCCCCTTTGGGACACCGAGAGAGATGCAGGTTATAATAATAAGCCCAGTCCACCCTCAATGCATCCTAAGATTATTGCCTCTTACAGGAATGGGTGCGTGAAGGATTGAGAAACACTAGTTATTTTCAAACTGGATTAAGTCTTTCAAAAGCTAATAGGTTTCCAATGAGCTGTGGTGTTGCTGCTGCAGCTGCTCTAATTTGAGAATAAAAGAATGCAGGCTTTGTGCCTGGGGACCTGTTATTGATCCCAGCAAGAAGGATGGGAAGGAAGGGGGTAGAGGAGGGTTATCCTCCTTTCAGCTGGGGCAGGGGCGTTCTTTTCAAAGTCACATTATCTGCTAGTAACAACAAAACCTAACCCCATGACATGCTGCTCTATACAGGATTGCACTTGTTGAGAACTAAAAGCATTAGGGGGGAAAAAAAAAACCCTCCACTGGCAACCTTGTGCAGCAAACTTCATTGAGGGCCCACGAGACTCAACAGATGGGTCTCGAGACTCCCTCATTAGGAAACGTGCCCGGCCCTTTGCATCTGCTGCCCTGCTCTGCTCTGTGCCGTGCACTCATTAGCATCCCAGGCTCACAGATTCCTTAGCACGTGCTTCCAATAAATATTGCAAAGAAAGGAGGGGAGGAAAGCCACTGCTTGGAGCAGCAAGATGAGGGGTCACCCGCTAGGCTGGGAAATCCTTACACACACACACACACACATAGAGCCCCAGAGGAGGCAGGACAATAAAAGGCAGCCAACCACAAATGTGCAGTTAAAGGGACAGGTGTGGAATTGCTTCTATTCAAGTTGTGGCAGATCCTGATTCGTTCCCCTCTGCCACAGTAAAAAAAAATCATCATTAAATATATATAAACTCCCCCCAACAATTCAGGGCAACACACAGACTGTGGATCTGCGAGAGCCTGTTGCTCCTTTCAGACATAAAGCTGAAGCACACTGGGTAATGCCATTACCTTCAAAGAAATCAGTTGGTTTTAAGGGTCCAGTTCTACAGCCAGGCTCTTTTTCTTTTGGGTCTTCACCAAGCTGCCACAGTGCCACAGATCAGGGATGTCCTTCACCACACGTGGAGTGGCCCATGACAGCTTCACATCAGGAGCAATCGAAGAGAAAATCATCTCCAGTGTGCTTGAAAATGCTGTGAGACAAAACAGGTGTCAGGGAGGCAGGAATGTAACACCCTCCAGGTACTGTGGAAAGAGCAAAGACAAACCTTTAACCAGAGAGGCAGGGTGACAGGGTGTCTTGCTCATTCCCCCAAGAGTAAGGCCCTCTATTTGCCACCTCTCCATGGGGCCCCAAGCCTATTCCTACTGCATTCCTTCTCATTTACCCTGGTTCCCACTGCCCTGCTAGAAGCTGCAGGCACTTTTTCCACAGCTCCCTCCAGAGTGGGACTTGGACAGTCTCAAGGGATTAACTATGGATGTTGATACACATTCCTAACTGAAAGTTTTTTGTTCCTTGACTTAGGCACATTTATATTTTGGGCTGAATCTGGATTTTAGCATCTTTAATGTCTCCAAATGTTTCTTCAGGCCAAATGAAGCAACTCCCTCTATATCTCCCCCAGAGGAACAAGTAAAATCAAGGCCCAGAATATTAGATCAGCCATGGAATAATGGCAGGCAAAAGCAAGAAGTTATATACTGTACACTCAAATTTAAACGTGCTAATCACTGCTCTGTTCATTTTAGTCATTTCCTTAGCTAAATGACACCCCTGTGTACTTCAGTCTTGCACCCTCAGGACAGTCTGTGACTGGGAATGTATTGAACACATACTCTCACATGCAATTAACAATGACGAGGAAACGATCTGCATGAAAAGAAGACTTCAGGCATTTTGATGCTGCCATAACAAGAAAACAAAACTTGGTCTGAGCACATACTGAAAAAAAAAATTGACTCAAAGAAGCACCTTTGCAGAAAGCTGTGAGGGGAACTCTGCTGGAAACTTGGACCTCTGTTGGAAGCACCCGTTGTTCACTGGAGACAGGGCTCAGCCCGGGTTTCACTGCAGCTTCTTCCAGGACTGACAGGAATAGCTGAGGCTGCTGCTTATCAAAGGAAAGTGTCATCTTGTCTGTGACAGAAGTGCCAGCACTGCTCAGTGTCACAGTCTTTGCACCTACTGGAAGCTACTCCAGCTTGATAAGCTGTACCCCTGCTCAGACCTCAAACTGCAGTCTCAGCTCTCCCCTGTTTTTAGAAAGCAGGGATTTGAGATCAAATCACCGGTGTACAGGAATCCCACCACTGGGGAGGATAAGTGAAGGACAAAGCCAGGTTAATGTGGAGGCATCCAATCCTTGAAGGGTTAACAGAGAAACAAGCAGAAAGCAGGTTTTATGTGTATACAAATAAAGGAAACTGAAGGAGAAACAGCACTATTCTCTGGAACGGAGTAAACTCTCAATTTTAAGCTGTGACAGAAAGCAATAGTGTTATGGATTCACTTAATTACAGCTGGATAGAACTTAAAAGCTCTACAATAGATGTATTTTTTGGCTCTACAACTTTAACTCTTTCAGGAACTTTATTGGTTCTGACTGCAGTAATTTCTGAGTACCCCAGAGTCTTTTTTTTTTTATTATTGTTCTCAGAGTATCTTCTCAAAGAGATTTAGTGCCTCACTTTAATTCCTAGGAGCTAATATACAGAAAACTAAGGTGGGAATTCCTAAGTGATAAAACACACATGCACAATAAACACAACACAGCTATGAAATTTTAGTTCAAGCAACACACTCCAGGGAAAGAGGTAAGTGCTTGTAGCAGCAAACTGGATTTGGGTATCTGGTCACTAAAGCGTCTTCTCCAAAATCTTCTGTCACATTTGAAATGCTTGCCTGGAGATACAGCTTTAAGAAATTGCCTGACTTGGAAGAAATGGAAGCTTTTATGGAAGTAGCATTGGGTAAACTGTGCTCTTTCTCCTCACCTCTGCCACTTGCTCAACTTTCTCAGCAGAGGTAGTTTTCCCTCCTGATCCATTTGTGAAATAGCCTAACGTGGGGTGTGGCCTCCCCACGAAATGCTTCCTAATTAGTTTCTAAACATTAAACGATTATGGAAGCGCAATTCCCATTCCACTCAGGTGATGAAAAGCTTTACAGGAGTTCAGTCTCACTTTGTAATTAGAGAAATTAGCTTTCTAAGTTTAGATCACTCAACTGTGCAAATGGGTTCATCTGCTGGAATGTGTTGCTCCGAAATGCGCGTCAGCCAAGCAGCACGGCACGGTCCCTATCTCTGCCTCCACGACACTCATCCAAGTGGGGAGGTCAGTCCCAGTGCTGCAAGAGGAAAATGAAGTGTTGTGGGTGTATTATAGGAAAGGCCTTATCTAAAAGCTCACTCGTCCGTGATTGACTGCAGCGATATGTCCTTCTCCTTGCAGCAGGGAAGCTTAACTCCCAGATAAAAGATTATCCAAGTGGATGAAATTTTCCCTCTTTCACCCAGTGTGGCCAGAATTATACCTAAAGCTACAGCAAATTAATTTTAATGGGTAACTTCGAGGAGTAAAACTACTTTTATAAAAATCTACAGAAACAAAGGGCTTCTGTATCCTCTTTGCTGTGAAAGGAGGCCGTCGAGCTTTATGAATTCTTTATGACTACGTATTCCACGTGTCAACAGATTCTTTTCTGGCAGCCCTTTAACTGTTTTACTGGAGCCTGATGCAGGATCAGGCCCCCATGATTATGCAACTGTCTTGATCTGCATTACAGTAGTAAACAAAAGTTTAGTCACTGACTTCAAAATGAGATGGATCAGGTCCCTGAACGAAGAGTTTTTCCAGGGGCGCCATTCCAAGCTTACCTTCAGGTATAACAAATCTAAGGAAATCCTGTGGGATTGTTCACAGCCACGACTCAGTGACTCACCCAGCTTTAAAAGGAAATTACAACTTTCCTAACACAAAGAATTGACTTCACGACACCTGACCCTCGTAAGCCAGGCACTCCCTCTGAAGGCTGTGATCCCCATCCCACCAAAGCCCTGGGCAATCTCCCAGTGGCTTCAATGAACAGCTCTAAATTAAGGAACTGATTCAGGCCCAATTCTGGGGCCTGTAATTCTGGACTTTGGCACAACTAAATGTCCACAACGGCTTCTAATGTGGATGTGATCTAATTATGTCGGAATAGGAAGATTAGCAGGAAGTAACTTTACGCAGTGTAAGAAGCCGAGTGCCAGACGTCGAAAAGTTCTTCACCAGCCACAAAGGAAGACACGTCGGCTCCACATTTGTGGGACGTGCAAGCAGAGCCCTGCAGCAGGAACTTTTATGTGCACCAGCCTCTGGCTACTCAGAGTGGCTCAGTTCAGGCCCCCTGTGCCCATGAAGCAATTTGTATGTTGCTGTATCTGTAATGAAATTAGTACCTTAAAAAGATGCCCGGGCTGCAGGCACCACGCTCAGCTGGGTTTCAGTGCTGCTGTGCAGGGGTTAAAGATCTGCCCTTGAGAGTCTGGTGGAGAAAAGCAAGAGATGGGACTTCTAGGTTAAAATTCTGTACTAAATAAGGTGATTTCACTGCTGACTTCCACGAGGTCAAAATTTCTTTTGCGAGGGAGAGGGTTTGCAACGCGCTTCTGCCACGTGACTCATGCTCTGCCTTGCTTTACCTATCAGTAATACTCCCCATCTCAAGACATGAGGAGGCTTAATTCATTAATGCTTGCAAAGCATTTTAAGTTGTTGGACGAGTAATTGTGTTTGAGGGCAGCTACACTGCTGAGTCACAAGCACTGTGGGAACCAGAACTCTGGATTTCCTAAGCACTGGAGTCAAACAGGTGGAGTAACCTGTTACAGAAAGGTCAACTCCAGACCTGCCCTAAAGGTACAGCGCGTAGCAGCAAGCAGCAGGGTATTTAAAGGCCTAGAGGAGGAGATGTGTGGCACTTGGGAATGGGTAACATCTATACAGGCTGTAGAAGCTAGACCAGTACCCACTGGAAAAAAAAAAAGAAGAGAGGCACTGGTTCTTGTATCACCAAACTGCAGCCACGCTGTGGATAAAACACAATGAAGGCTTACCAGGCTAAGAAAAGTTAATTACTCCAAAAAGAAACAACCAATACTGTTGGAACTTGGGGGCTGAATGAGGCTGGAAGGAGTATTCGGCAACCACACACCTCACAGGCAATGCCAAAATTGCTGGGATGTGATTTGTGAACTCAGATGGGAAGTGATCTGCAGGAGTCGGATGGAGGTCTGAGCACAGCTCTCAAGTGAGGGGCACGAATACCACCAGCTTCCCAGCCTGAGGCACTCCAGAATGGGACACCATAGCCAAGAACAGGCACGCGCTTTGCTTTTGCCATAGGAAATGAAAACAAAGGATATAAAATTAGGTCAGAAATCTTGTTTTCCTCTGTGCCACCGACTCTGGTGTATAAAACAGACATTCACACATCTACTGTGTTAGATCAGGGTGGAATAGGCCATCAGAACACAAGAATAGCTGTTCTGGGTCAGACCAAACGTCATGTATGCCAGGTTCCTGTCTCCAGTGCCTCAGGAAGAAAGGGACAGTGATGCAGCAAGTTCCCAGCACAGTCACCCAACTTCTAGACCAGCAGCCCAGGGACTTCCCAAACCAGAGACAAAGTTAGGGGTGGGGTTTTTGGGGTTTTACTTTTTTTTTTTTTGTTCAGTGCCCTTTGATGTGTGGCTCTTCCTCTGGGAACAAGTCTGAATGCTTTCTCTGCAAACTGTTGGGCTTCTCAGCGCCCTGTGGCAGGGAGTCCCCCAGGTGACCACCACCTGGCTGTGTGGCTCTGGACCCCGTTCCTGAAAGGATGCGTGAGGCAGACAAACCCCAGCAATCCCCTGGAAGCTGGGACGAACATCTGCAGTGCGGGGAACGGGATCCCTGACGGAGTCTGAGCCAGCACTCACTTCCCGGGACTGATCGGCTGAGGGATCTTTCCTCCCACTTGGACCCCGGGAGGCCCTCGGCGGTGCGGCCTCGGGTAGAGGAGGAGACAACGAGTCGCACGGTGGCGACTGCCGCCTCGGCTTCCCTCGGGAGAGCCGCTGGCCAGGGCTACCTCAGAGCCCCGGGCCGGCCGCCCCTCCCGTCCCCTCAGGGAGCGCCGACCCGCTCCCGCGCAGCGCCCCCCGCCCCGGCCCGCCTCAGGAACCGCGGGGCGGGAAGGGCGGCCGCCGCCGCCGGCCCGGGGCAGGGGGGGGAAGGTTTCACACCGCAAAAAGCGCTCCCGAACTCTTCATTCTTCTCCTCCCGAGGAGGAGAGGAGGGACGGGCCGCGGCTCCCGGGCGGGCAGGACCCGCGCGCGTCCCCTCAGCGAGCGGCGGGGCGGGAAAAGCCCCCCCCGGCCGCGAGCGCCGCCGAGGGCGCGCGGGAGCCGCTGAGGGCGCGCCCGCCCCGACGCTCCCAGGGCCGCCCCGGCGCGGCTCCTCCCGCTCCAGGTACCGCTGGAAGCACCTGCGGAGCGGCGCTTCCCGAGGGGACGGGCCCTCGGGGCAGCCGGGGCGCGCCGTCTGCCTCAGGCGGAGGAGGCGCCGCCCGCAGCTCGCTCCATGCCATGCCATGCCATTGCGTGCCATCCCTCCTCTCCGCCTCCTCCTACCGGTACCTGCCTTCCCCTGACCGTGCCCTGCCATTCTCCTCCTCCCCTTCTCCTCCCTCCTCCTCCTCTCCCCTCATGCATATGGATGGGCGCATGCGCCCGCCGCCCTGGGCTAGATGAAGCGGAGCGGCGGCGGCGCTCCCAGACGGGCGGGCGGCTGCGGGGCGGTGCGTGTGCTGCATGTGCGTGTGTATGTGTGAGTGTGTGTGCGTGTGTGTCTCGGGGGGGCGAGGGGCTCCGCCGCAAGGAATAAAAGGATTGGGATAATAATCGCAGTAATAAAACAAAACAAAACAAAAAAAAAA